GTGTGTGATACGAATAATTAGGATATACAACAAGTTGTCCTGAGGCAGAGAAGGTATCAGACAATAACAAGGAAATCGCCAATGAGCAGTATAGTCTAGTTTAAAATGAAAGGTCTCTAAGTCCATGGTATTCTTCACAGATATTAAGCTTACACTTTCGGATACAAACGCCTCGAATAATCACAAGTTGACAGGGGCGTTTTCTTGTACGTTTATGCAATGATTGTCTATTGTCCTTTGGCACGAAAAACATCTCTCTCTCTCTCACGTAATCATGCAAATTGTCCTTTAATTGGCACGATAAAGACCTCTCTCTCTCTCACGCGATCATGCACAAAAGTTGTGGTTCTTTTTTGTTTTTACATCCTTTGACCTTGTCATTTCCCAGTTCTTGAATGACTCCATGCTCAACCTCACTCATCCAATAACCATGCACTTATTTCCTGAAACTTTTGACACCTTCTCCCGTGCATATCGCATTTGATTGTTAATTACCTGTAAGTATTTGTACGTTTCATCTATTCTCTTGAGTATTTTTTGTTGTGTTAATATCGTTGTGCAATTTTACGTTTTTAATTTCGAGGACGTAGTCACGCTTTGCAAAAAAAACATTAGTCGTGTGGATCTAGTCCATTTTCACTTCGTAGAAGCAGCTTCGCAGCATTTTAAGTGCCTGAAGCGTTAAGGTAAATCTTTTCGATTCCTCTATTGTGGGTTCATTTATCAATTTTCGTTCCCTTATATTTAGTCTTCCCGCTCATGTTAGTTGAAATTGATGAAAGGAAATATGCATAACTTCGGTTACAACAGCTCATGACCTCCTTTTCGTGAACACAATGTTTAAACCATCGTAACACAGAAGGTCTGGGGTTCGAATCTTAATAGGTATACAGACTTTGGCAAGATTTCCGTATAACCCCATACTTCATTATGTATACAACTCTTAGATAAAAGAGAACAGAGCCAAACAACAGATTACCTTTTGGATGTGAACTTTGTTTTTGATTGGTATGGGGTTATACGGAAATCTTTCCAAAATCTGGATCGTTATAAAGGCAATCTTTTGAAATTTTACATTCTTGTTTGAAGAAACATGACCTTTAACTTTCTAAGATTTGCCAAATACTCCATGGAGGTTCGTTTACATTTGTCAATTATTATAGACAAGAGTTACTGTGATAGTGGTTTTCTGGATGTAAGCCGGCGCAGACACACTTTACAGTATACTGAAAATTTGAACTTGAAAGTCTTTTCTGAGTTACAGAATCAATTTTTACCATGGGTTTTGTAACTAAGAGGAACTTATTGCTGTGATAGAAATAATTTCTCTATTTGGGCGAGCAAATTGTTAAATTGTACATCTCCTCGAAATATCAAGCAAACTAGCCGCTATCACCAACTGTGCAGGTACTTGTAAATTACGCGCTGTAGAGTTATGCTGCGAAAAACGAAAAAAAATTAAATCCATTAGCAGGTGGTCATAAAGATGTCACTCAACAATAGATCCTCGTGCCAACAACACTCGCCATTGAACATTACTCGCGGGTCTTTGAGACAGTATCCAATACTCCTCAATTATACTGCTTGATAGCAAAATCCTATAATGATTAATATAATGAGCTTAGGTCTAAATGGTGTTTGTAAACTTAGCCTACAATCTCGGGCTAAAGGAAAGGTCAAAACAACACTTTGGTTTAATGCATGGGGCCTCTGGGACATCTTTCCTCACTATTTTTATCAGGTTTAGTTTCTGATGCTTTAGATTGCAATATCGCCCTTATTCTAGCATGGCCCCAATCGCTAACACTGCGCTCCTTTCCGTTACTTTCACAGCCTATATTCAGGAGGAGATCAGCAAAGAATTGCGATGGACTTCAAGTTTATTTTCTCCTTTCCTCTCACTAAACACATGACAAGGACCGAAAAGTTTGTCCAGTGGTCGTGTATTATGTTTTATTGCTTAGGAGGAGCAACATTTCTTCTATCCCCGCAGATTGTGGGCTTTGTTTTCAAGCTGGACCTGGAGGGCTACTCTGGTGGCTACCTGCGCCTGCTAGGGCTCGCAGTGTTCGAAATTGGCTTCATCTTCATCATTTCAGCGCGTTCCTTTTGTAGAGGGTCACGCTATGCGACCATTCTAACCTCAGTGGTCGACCGTCTGGTTTGGGCTAATTTCATTTCGTTGATGTTGGTCCTAAAAGGTTTGCTTCCTTTTAGACTCTCCTTATTTTGGATGGTACCCAATTCCATATTCGCATTCGCTATAGTGGTTATTTGGAGCCATGAGACGAAGGATGCCTCAGTAAACAAATTTGTGCAAGAAGCCACTTCGGACATACGACGGTTTGAAATGGCTAAGACTGAAGCGCTGGTTGGTACTGTTTTTGTTCTTGGAATCGTTCAATTCTTCTTCTGGTCGCTTCTAGTTATGAGGCCTGATTTTTCTGCGATAATATTTCAGCTGGATAAATTCAGTGGATTTTCGCAAGGATTTTTGGCTTCATATTTCTTTGTGAGATCAGCCCATGGATTGCACTACACGATTGCTGCGAGCAGTGGGAACATTTGCATTGTGTCTGCCTTTGTCTGTTGCCGAATATTTTTTAATGTTCCAATATTTTTCTGCTTGCTTATTTTTGATCAGATCGAGAAAAATTTATTTATTGCGTTGTCGAGTCTTGAGCTTTTGATATCCACAATCCTACTGACCGTTATGATGCGAGAAAAGCATGTTACCGTAGACAACAAAGCGAAATAGATTTTGTTACTGCTCATGCCTAGCCTTTTAATGGACATCTTTAGATAATAATAATGATCTCCCAGCCCAACCAATACCACAGTGAGAAAAACCGTCTTACTGGGCTACATTTATTATTTGCTAGTTACATTTTATTTCTATAAGGAAAGCAGTATTTCGGGTTAAGAAGGAAAGTGAACACGAACGAGCGAATCGTTTTTGTCCACTAAATTCAAACAAAACTTTCTCGCATAGAAATCTGAAATAAAGACGAAGTAATACTTCTATCAGCTTTTTATGAGTACATATAATCATTAATTAACGTCGATTTTGTTTGCTTTAACAATGCACATAAATTCATGTGCGTTTCTTGAGAAAGCTTTGCTCTCTAAAGTGTGTGCACATAAGTGTTGCCTCTGGCAATTATCGTTTTGGTACGACTTATCAGTAAGTAAATAGTTTGTTATTTCACATATTATACAGAATTTAGATGTAAACGAAAGGACCGTAATGTAATATATTGGTTTCAATTGTTTGATTACTACTACAACCACCACCTTATTCAAGAATAAATTTCCAGGCTGTTACCATTCAGTTCCACGCGTTCTCGGTGTGTGCTTTCGAGGACTTTCAAATAAACGGGCTCTTCGCCACAATAAGTTTACCTCTGCGTTACGAAATAAATAATATGCAAAGTGAAATGTAATGATTTAAATCAATTTCATTATAATTTCCTAAAACCAATTTTCTTTCCCACATGTTTTGTGATTCAACTTTCCTTAAAGGTACTTTTCTTATATATATTTTCCTTTTCTCTCCCTTTCTTACTGAGTTCAGTGCGACGATGAATTACTCCACAAAGATATGTCTAAGCAGCAATACGTTGTTATCTCTTGAAGTTTTCTTGGCTAAAGCCATAATGCTTTTAAAAGAGTACATTCTTGCAAAATACAAGCGTTACGTAGATACAGAACCGTGACATTGATTTGAAATGGCTTACGAACCAGACCGCCAATCAAATGCAAGATATTTTTATCCTAGCGACGTTATAGTTATCCTGCTTGAAAGCTTGCTTTTCACATTGCATAATGTTTTCTTTCTGGCGAGAAGTTCAGCAACTGACGACATCCTCAGGTTGATCAGCGCGGACGAAACGTGTCACTCAATTCCCAGCAGATGGATGACTGAAACGCGATAGTAGATGTAGAAAAAGATTCCATAAGCAAGGTATTTAACAATAAAAAACGAAAAAGGGAAAGAAAAGATAGAAAAAAAACAGTATCGAGACACTTCTAAATGCTAATAAGTGGGCTTACAGAAATAGGTTTTGAAGAAGAATTCGGCTACTTGTAACAATGCTTTGTTCTCCTTACAAAACATTCCCATCAATTTTTCAGCTTTAGGCTTACTTGAGTGCAAAGGTTTTGCTTCATTCAAAATTTCAGCCCAAATGTTTTAATTTGAATACATTATAGATATTGATGTTTACTCACCAAAAGATGCGTTAAGTGAGTATGATGTTCGCAATTAATTAAATTAAATGCAAAATTTGTGAAAATGATTCTACTGACCGAATACTTTCTCTTGACAAAAACTGGACTGAAGGTCTGATTTCGGTGGATAAAGGATTTTTATATGAACAGGATTTATACTTCAATACAAGTAATGGTTCTCTAAATTGTTTTTTTTTTTTTAAGAAAACGAGGATATCCCAATGGGAAGTTGGCTTGCCAAACTTGCAGACCATAAAACTGACGCCGCACAATCATTGAAGACCCCCCATGTGGTAGCCTCATACGCTCTGTTTTTTGGTTTCATTGGGTTTATTTTATTGGTATGGATCAGTGCCTTTGTTTTGACCATTGTGAGAGTTTGTAAAAAATATTCAAGGGCAAGGAAGTACGACGAAACACATGATACGGTAAGAAAGTTAAGCCTGTCAAGATTTGCAGATCGCACACATTGTCGATTGACACAAAACTTGGATTATACGTAATAGTTAGATAAGTGGAAAAAATTATTCCATTCATTCTCCAGGCCTGCACCTACGTTTCATTGAACTCCCATGCTAACTCGCTATTTTGCCATTAGAACAGGGGATAACCCAGTTTCAACAATCCCTCCTCCAAG